CATATTTTATTTGTAATGAGCGTAGACATGCTCATACGGTCGTAAGTATGTTTGCTACATACCTATGTATGGCTATGAAAAAACCCAGTAAACGAAATATGGTTGACATGGTTATAAACCGATTTCGAAAAATGTCAACGCCTCGCTAAGTGAAACCAATGTTTGTACCGAATTTCGGAGAGATTACTGAATCGTTTATTGAGATTTCAACATTATATCATAACTAGCCGGTGCCACCACACCTACTTTGCAAAGTAAAAAAAAAAATATATAACTTTAAGATGTTTAACCTGGCACAATATTCGTGCCGTAATTGTGCCATAGATGATGGAACGATGAGCTGTATGAGCTTTGCAATGACATGGACATAGTGCAGCGAATTAAAATACAGCGGCTCCGCTGGTTTTGCCATGTCGTTCGAATGACACCGACGCTCCAGCTCTGAAAGTATTCAACTCGGAAGCCGCTGGTGATAGCAGAGGAAGAGGGAGGCCCCCATTTGGCATTTCCACTTGGCGTCAGTTGGCACATAAGAGAAACGGCTGGCGTGATTTTGTTGAACTCGGCCAAAATCGCTTAGGCGGTTACAGCGCCGAATAAGAGGAAGAATTGTGCCACACTTACGCGGTTTTATCGAGGCAGTCGAAGCTCTATTTCTGAATTGGGCGACGGTGGAACTCCAGTACGACATTCACGCGGCAGGAGTCTGAGTAGGTTCGGCATTCAGCAACCGTCTGTTCGGTTGTTCCTACGAGTAGAAACTTCTTACTGAGCATTAAATGTTGCTCCTTAACTGTGAGCATTGAGACCCCACTATGTAGATGGTGTTCCGTCGACATCGTAGCTGTCCCGAAGTGCTGTGTTGTGGTTCCATGTTTGCAGCTTAGTTCACTGCAACCTACTCAATAGAACCTACCGGGCCTCCTTGTATTTTGCCAACAAAGTTTTTTTTTGCGTTTGTCCGAAATACTGCCGGCGGGCGATTTTTGGAACTTGTTGCGGCTCCCTTTTTATTGGCAATTGTGATTGTGATTTCTCAACTGTAGGTTTGGCCTTTTTCGTGCAGCTGATGAAAATGGCTTCTGGGGTTCGCGTGGTGAAGCTACTTAGGCTGCTTGCGGTGAAAACCGAGCTAGAATGGAGTTATAAGCCTTTACTTTAAAATTTTTTTCCTGGCTTCGAAGTTTGATCGCGAAATGTACTGTTGTATTCACTATTGCGGGTAGGGGAGATATTTTGAGGTTAAGACCTCTCTTTGATCAAATTTTTTTAGCGTCGACATGCATTTGGCTTTGCCATACCGATAGCCGCCGGAACTTTGCCTCTGGTGAAAATAAGGGTTATACTGGTAGTTGGCACCTTGGTGATTGGCGTTCGCCAATATGAACGTCTATTGGTGTGGGATGAGCCGAAAAGCTGCCGCCGTTGCGGTAAACCGCGAAAGTTAAATCTTAAATTTTTTCGGTGGAGATGATTATGTGGAGGTTGTCTGATTCTTATCGGATCAAGCGATTTGCTGCAACTACCCATACTTCTGGCGGGGCGTCATCGTACTGTTGAATCGTCTTTTATCTGCTTTTATTTCCTTTTACTGTCTTTATTTGTTTTATGTTTCGATACCGAAATTACAATCTTTAAAATGACATCTTAAGTACGTACGGAGGTTTCTAAATGGAGTATTTGTTGGTGACACGGTTTTGTGAACAGCATCATCAGAAGAACTAGATTTGTCAATTGGAATTCTGTACTTTTTTTCTTTTACTGAAAACATTTTTGTTTAATTAATTGAATCCCAAAAATCTGTCCACAATCCCAGCCAAATTTTTCTGAAGAGCTCAGCAAAAACCAGCTGGCAACCGCAATATCTAATAGTGCCAAAAGCCGCATATGCTCACAAAACGTATGGGACCCGCAAGGCGTTGGCTTGCTATCTGGTGCGAATGCGATAAGTAAATGGTCTCGGTCTGATGGTTAATGCTTAAGGTTATCTGCCTTAAATTCCCAACTGAAAATTTGGCTTGGTTGGTTCATGTGTAGATACCCTCAACCGGCGTTGTGCTTTCACAAGGTCTAATCATTTGATTTCCATTTGTTTGCTTACTTTGCTTCACCATTGCAAATTAACAAAACATACTCGTAGTTTATTACTTATACTACGCACGCTTGCTACTTTACAGCTCATTGTTGCTGCGCCTGTGACATTTTTTTTTGCTCCTTTTTTAATTTGAAGCGTTTTTTGAACTGGTAACACATGCACGCTGGTGGCACTTCTGTTTTGACCTCATTATTCTCGTTTAGTCTGAACGTAGGCGGCGTCGTTGGAGTAAGTAAATTATAACACTTGGCGCGTTTTTGTTGTTAATTTTCTGTGTGTCATTTACACCATACGTATGAGTAATCAAAGTGAATGAAATGTACACAAGTAGTGTAAATTGCAGCTTGTTGCTTCACAAAGCTCGCTATCCAGCGCCGATCTAATTCACTGGTTAGAATGCGGCAATACGTTTGTGCGTAGATATATTTGAAACGAGTTGTTCATTCGAGTATTTACTTGCATACATATATAATACATTTCTTATTTAAATTTTTTCTTGCACATTCCTCCATTTGCTTGCCCCATTATGCTGGTTAGGCAGTTCTAAGCCCTCATTTTGCTTTAGCTTTGCGTGCCAAAAGTTCGTTAGCTTTGAATAACTAATGGTTGTGCATATGTGTGCGTGTAAGAACCGAGCTCTTTTTAAATAATATTTCATACTCAAAAGCACACAAAAGCTAGCTATGCGCAATTTTATTGCTCTGCGTTCCCTGGAATTTCCACTTTTCATCCGGTTTTTTTGTTAATGTCTTCTTAAGTTTTTTTGTTTTAAGAGTTTTAAATTTCAATATGTACTTATTTAGCTACTTATTTTCGTTTCAACTACTCACAGGGATTGTTTCTAATTTTTGCACGAAACCAATATACATACACAATATAATTTTGTTTAATAATTACAAAATAAATATTACAACACACGAACTCACAGTTTCCAGATAAATGTTCTATTTTTACTGCTTCAACTTAAACTCGTTGTATGTTACTTTGTAAGAAACGCTGAAAGAATTCAACTGGTCAAGAAATTCATTAAAAAAATTGTTTCATCTTGAAATGCCTTTATTTCACATTTTTTATAAGATTAGGTTAAGGTAGCCGTGGCTGTGCAACGACCAATAAAGTCCATAGCGTTACCAGAAAAAACTACGACCGGGTAATTTAGCTACTCCCTTCTGCCATTCACAAAGTTGATAGGGCTAAGAGGAACCACTTTGTGCGCTCTAGTTTTGTGCTCATTCCCGTTTTATTGCTTGTAACTAGGCATAGTATCATGCGCATATCTTCTATCGGTTGAAAGTGCATCTTCTTCGAGATCACATAATTCGATAAAGAAAAAATGTCAAATGGAATATTTTTTTCAGATACCTAGGTTGTTTTAATAGAAAATGGCAATTATAAAATATATAAAATCGATTAATAAATAAGAAAAAAGTAAAGACACTATACTAAAAGTAAAAAAAAAAATTTTAAATATAAGTACATAAAATTAAAACTAAAAATAAAATTTAAGAAAAAACTAAATACAAAAATATAAACGAAAAAGTATAAAAAAAAGAAAAATAAAAATATGTAAATAAAAGAAAAAATATATAAAAATAAAAATATGTAAATAAAAGAAAAAAAATTAAAAAATGTACATAAAAGAAAAAAAAAAATATTTTCATAACAGAAAAAATTAAAAATAAGGTGAAAGATAAACAAGAAATAAAAAAATAATTTTAATAAAACCAGACGTGAACCAGATGAAAAAATTTAGTCAGTCGCTCCAGCGATTCGAACCATTCTTGCACCATTGGTTTAGTTCATAAAAACGTGTTTTTGTGTTTGAACCGGATTTTCGGTTACTTTTACTCTTTACTCTTTTTCTTCGTGCTGGTGAAGGTGCTGTTTAAAATAAGTGCGGCCAATTCGTCTAAAAACAACTCGAACTCCTTGGGATTAATCTGAAATTCTCTAATAACGATTATACTCTCGATATCATTCATCAAAAATGGCCATCAACCATTCGCCAGTCCATGCCATTTTTACTGTGTACCCAGGCTTGTTTTAAGTTTTTCACACTCTCGTTATCTGTTCAGTAAATATGTAGATATTTGATTTATAACTCACAGCATGCCAAGAGTTCGACACTAATACCACATTCGTTGTTTAATTTTCGCTACAAGTTTTATTTGAGTTTGCGAAAATAATTCACCTATTCCTCCACTCAAAAGTAAGTAGAATACAGTATTATGTAAATTTAAAAATGCAGGTGTTTATTGACTATCTGTGTACGTTAGTACTAGTTACATATGTACTAATGTTCACACACAATTGTCTGCATTTCTTATAAGGAGATTCCGTATCAAGTCCAATGAAATATGTATGATTTGTATTCCACAGCAGTTTTTGCTGCCCCTTTTTATGGAGAACACCTTGCGCATTTTGCATACGTTATTAGTTTAGGATTTGATGATTTTTTTTTAAATTTGTTTTATTGATAGTTCACTTATTTTCTATTTAGTTTGCACTCGTAAAAACTCAAGGCTGTCATTGTTTGCTTGAATAATTTCTTTAGTTTGACCTCACGTCCAGTCGCCCTATCGGAAATTTGTGACAGTTTCCTGCTGTCTGGTGTGCTGAACTTTTGCTGTTTTGTCACGTTAAATTTTGTTGGTTTAGTGTCAGTAATATTAATCTTTTATCATCATAAATTTGGGAACTTCGAAGTCGCCAAAAGTTAAAATAAGTGAGGTTCTTAACACTAAGCAAATGGCAACTTTGCGCTCTCTGTGGACTTGAAAACCATTACTGACTTTAAAGAAAAACAAAAAAAAAATACATATATTTTTTATACAAACATACATCTACATATTTAATTACAAAGCAATCTAAATCAATTAATTAACCACACATTTTTCAATTTCAGATAATTGGCATTTTGGGCATCGTTTTTGGTGTATTAATTCTCAACAACATCGGCACTATCGAGGTCGATGGCCAAGTCGGTTTCCCACCACAAGCCATTGTACCAATTATACTCATTACTATTGGTTCAATTGTGGTATTCATCTCATTCCTGGGATGCTGTGGCGCCATACGTGAATCCGTATGCATGACTATGACTTATGCCGTCTTCCTGTTGGTGCTACTCATTCTACAACTGACTATTGTTGTACTCCTATGGACCAATAAGGATAAATTTACCGCAGCAATGGGTGAGGTCATCGATAAGGCTTGGGAGAAAGAGGCACGCCAGTCGGGCGTCTTCGATGCCATACAGCGTTCGGTAAGTGAAAATTGATATTGCTTGAGCATTTGTGTGTTTGTGTGAGATGTGCAATCAATTGTGCTAATGTGTCTCCATTTACAGTTGAAATGTTGCGGCAAAAATGGTTTCACCGACTACGTTGTAATACTGCAGAGCCCACCGCCAAGCTGTTGTGAGAATGACAACTGCGCGAATCCGTTGAACGTCTATGGCGGTTGCCGTAGCAAATTCCAGGAATTCATGTCCTTCAGTACTGACACAGCCAAATATGTTGGTTTGGGATTGATTGCTGTGGAGGTGAGTGGATGAAAAATGTTAAATTTATTTATTTTTTTATTAATTTATTTATTTTATGCACAGTTGGTGGGCTTCATTTTCGCCTGCTGCTTAGCCAATAACGTACGCAACTATAAGCGACGAAATGCTTATTAATCGAGGATGAACAGCGTCCATGTTCCATACATTTTAATTTTTTTTTTTGATGTCGTCCTCAAACGCACATTCAATTCCAATCTAAATAGTAATTGAAGTGAACCATTGATTTATAAGTATATTTATGTATGTATGTAGTTTTTTCCCTCAAAAATATACATTATATATTGAATACACATTTACAAAGCTTATATTAAATCGAAATGAAATCGAAACACAAAATGTTTATTTAAATTTTAAGTGACCAAGTATGTGAAATTGAAAATAAAATCATTAAAAAGTAAAGAAAAAAATATTAAATTTATTATAACCATTGAAACAGATGAATCTGAAACTATTTACGAATGTTATATGCCTAAAGAAACAATAAAAAAAAAACAGTTGAAATATATGTGCATACACACTGTGTACCACTTAAACTGCAAAGAGGAAAGAAATGCGCATAAGTTTAATGAAGAAACGATATTAAAAAATAAGCCACAAGTAATCTCAAGAGAATTTACGACAAGTTCTGTTTCAAGCAAATATGTCTGTATATTAAACAATAATGTTATTGACTTTAAGTACACTTCGTGTGAAGTGATATGCATTCAGAGTTTAAATTTATTATAATATATATATATATGTACTATATGTATTTTATTGGATATTAATTATATGTAAAAGTTAGTCACGTTGTCTACAAGTTATGTTGAATTATATTTTTATTTGTGTATGCCTTATTACATGTTAAACTAAAGCAAGGAATTTGCAAGATATTTAAGCATTGAAATATTTATGAAACACTATGCAATTTAATAAGCGAACGTTATTGTGTTCGTCTGCCCTACCTACATTCAATCAACTTTTGTACCATTATTTGGAAATATACTTACGCCAAGTAATTATATAACATTTTTTTGAACTCGAAATTTCATAAACAAATAAACAAATAAAGAAAAAAAAAATAAATTAAAGATTTTTTATTGAGTGCACGATTCGAGCATTTGAACGAAGCAATCAAGAAAAAACGATCAGAATTGGCCAACAGATAAGGAGTTGTGACGGGACATAGTTGGGAAGTGCGAAATGCATCGCCCGGACTTTGCATCGTCTGAGCAAAGCTGTTCGCCCATTAAACACATAAGTTCTGCACCGATGGAATTATAAAGCTGAGCGAGAAATGGGAAAGGTCATACATAGATAATCATAGCCAATATGTACTTGATGAAAAAACTGATTTTCTTTAAAGAAATATTAACATGAATCTGCCAATAAATACTGTCACCACATAGACTTCCGTTAAATCGATTTGACATACATATGTACATGGACATTACATGTGGATGTATGTAAATGTTTTCGTTTCTGAAAAACGCTAGATAATGGTTAATGTTAGCCCCAATACATGCAACTCTGCATCGTTCTGCAACCGATTGATTGCCTGAGTAAATTACAGTTCATTGCCTTTAAGAAGCTGTTCATAGTCTGCTTTAGTAGAATTTTTTTTTTTTAATTTAACGTTTATATCTTTGTATCTTTGTAAGCTAATTACTTTACTTTTTGTTTTCAAATCGATTGGATTATATAGGAAGTGCCTTTCTGAAAAAAAATATGATACGAACTAATGCTGGTACACCGAAAACAAACACGAGTAAATTGAAGCAATACAAATGTTTCACAACCACAGCAAACAATGTGCAAATGATTTTCAACAACAATTTGTAACGCTTGCAATTTCTCCTAACGTTAACAGTTCAAAGTAGAAGTCTAAATAGTAAATCGTCCTTGCATTTTCACTTTTGCGTTCAACAAAGCAAGTAGGACTGAACATGTTGAGGAGCATTCTATAGTTGTTGGACTGTGCATTTGTAGGGGTAGCTTTTATTAACCCCTAGTGAGTACAACAACGACAACAAGTAGGTTCCCCGTTTTGTGGTGGTAGAAGTTAGGCCATTGCCTTGGTAACAAAGAAATCATGCATGCATATGCACATACCAAGCATTTAAATCGATTGCCCCAATTTTGTATTTTAAAGTGCTAGCAAACGTATGCACATATGTACATATGTATATATTTATGTATGTACAGACGGTAGTGGCGAAATGAAGGCCCTTAAATATGAAGTCAATCATTGCGTTGATCAGTGATGTATTATGTAAACAATGAAACAAATAATTAGAAAAATATAGCACAGTTCTTCTCTTCCATATATGTATGAATGTATAAATGTGGGCAAATATAATTATGGACCGATTAAAAAGAAAATTTGTTTATTAGTGAATTTGAGTACGCTAAATTCAAAAAGGCATTTGTTTCTCGAAGGTATTATTGCAGCATTTAGGTCTATTTAAGCCGTCCGATTTTGGCTTGGCCTCTAGATGTCAATAAGCTCTTGTTTTTTTTTTTTAAATATGTTTACCACGTGTTAACAAATTTAATTCTAATTATTTAATAAGTTAAATGAATTGTTAAATTATGGGTATCAATCTAAATGGTTCAGAAAGGGTTTTACTTCTAAACTACACGCAGGAGGGTCGCCCCCTGTTTCAAACATTAAGTTCAACTTGAATTAGGGAAATGAGATAGTTGAAATATGTGTCACGATACTATGGGTGTCAGGCAAGAGAGGTGTAGAAGGTTTTAGCCTGGAAAAGTTTTGAATTTCACTGGCTTTAATTTGCCGTATTTCCTATTACGGTTCTTCAATTGGTTCGTAAGATATACGTGATTAAGTGGAACCACTCTTTTTTGTAAGCTGAATAACGGTAAGTTGCAAATATATCGAAAATGTATCCATAGAAAAAAACTCGATTTTCGGAATCACCAAGCAATTCTGCATAGGAATTGGATAGTGGCATCTATAGAACGTTTTTGCTGTAAACCAGTGTAAGTTTCATTCATATGTTTATTAAATAAATGTTGTATCAAAAAAAAAAATAATAAAAAATATTGCGATTCCGAGGAAAAACCTGGCCTAAATTCCGGTTGACGGCTTTTAAATCAAAATACACTGTAAGGTAAATCTCAAGCTTTGAAATGACACAAGAAACGTAATGACGTAAACTTAATTTTGGATCGTGAATTGCGAATCTGTACAATATTTTTCTAAATCAGATAATTTACACAAGATATTTTCATTTTTATTTAAAAAATTTAAACTTTAACAAGGAAAAATTAAAAAAGATAACAGATTTTTTGTTATTTTTTTCGTATGTATTAAAACCTGTACCTTTGCAAAAAAATCTGGATATTAACGATGCAAATCGATGGATAAATAAACAATTTGTTAATGGTCAAACGAAAATGTGCAATAATTTTTTGTATGAAATAGGGGCAGGAAATATTGTTACCAGTGTTGCCAGGTAAGTAGCTTTCCGCCTAGATTTAGCCGGTTGCGATAGCAAACTGCCGGAGAAAATTTGGTTTAGTCGGCAGCCGATTTGTTAGCCGTTTTGCCAAAAAAAATTTGCCGTTTTAGCCGATTTTGCTATTTGCTTTGTTTTCGATTTTCTAGTCAATTTTTTCTAATGATTTTTATTTTAAGCAAATGTACACTGGCCCAAATATAAACAGGAACTCGAAATTTTAGCAATTTTTTTTTTACAAAGCTTTTTCTTTAGTTTATTTAACGCTTATTATTTTTTTTTATAAAAGTATAACTGATTTCTTAACAAACATCACTTGAGTCCAAATTTCATACTTTGTGCAAAAAATATGAAGATTCTGCAAACTTTCATCAAAATTTTATACTTATAACTTAAATTTGTTAGAAATTTAAAATTTTGTTATAATAAAGTGCAATTTTAAAGTAAAAAGTGAGAAAAAAAGGTCACGAATTTCGAGGTGAAATGAAACTCTCTGGGAAGACAATAACTGTGAAAAGTTTTATGATGGTGCCAACATACTTTATTGTTGCTTGCTCCCTGGCAGGCATGTGCACAGAGTGAGCAGGGGAAGGAGATTATGTAACCAGTTAGCGACAATTTTCGAATCGCTACCGCACTTTTTAACGTAAAAACATTTTATCATTCTTTAGAAATGGGAACTTTCTCGAATATATGGACATCAAAATAAATTTAAATAGTTTAATTGTGAAAAACTTAAAAAGCAACCGGCTGGTTGGATATAAATTACTGGCTTTTTTTCTCGAAATAAAGTTGCCCTATTTTCCTCAGCCTTTACACAGCTTTACGTTTTAATTTCTTAAAATATTGTCCTCCGATTAAGCAAGAGTGCAATACTTTCCACTAATATAGCCATTTCGCAGCACGAAAAGTAACTTAGTGCAAATTTTACAATATAAGAATGCAACATTTTTCAATAGAAAAGAAAACTTCATAAGTTTGTAATTGATCTATTTTTTATATTTAAGTAATACAAATATGACTTCTGATATAAGGCTTAGTAGCTACGTATAACGATAGTTTCCTTTGTTAAACAAAAATAATTTGTAATGAATTTACCAGTCTTTGTTTTTGTGATTTATTTAACGAGTGGTGTAAAACTTAGCTACGTATAACCTTGGTTATCCAAAAATAATTTAATGCATTTACTAGTTTTTCTACTTGTGATTTATTTAAATAAAACCTGTCAATTTTAGTTCAAATATTTTTGCCGTTTTTGTGGCCAATTTAACCGGTCGACGCAAGAAGTTCTGGCAAGACTGATTGTTACTCATACGCCATACCGTACATGGTAGGATTTGATTACTTTTTCTTTAGAAGTAATTTCAAATGCAACTTTTTTTCTTTTAATTTCATTACAAGAAATTGCATATTGTAATTGGATTTAATGTAATTTTTTTCCCAATTCCTTTGAAGGGAACTGAAAATGTAATAAATTTTCTGGAATTGCAAGAGTATTTTAGTTTTTTCAATTACTCACAGGAATTGTAAAAGTAATTGCATTTGAGAGACTCAAAGTTCATTCACGAATGTGAAAAGCGGAATTTCGATTGAGATCAAAAATTAAAATCAAAATCACACATTGTAAATTTTTTTCTCTAAAAGTATTTCCTTGCAAAGTAAACCAAAGACTATTTTGCACCTAAATGCGAGCATGAAAGTATTCGGGCGGGATATATCTGCTTCGAAGTATACGGGTATTGGAAAAAAATTACATTAGAGATGTTATTACTACCAATTACAACTGAAATTGAAAAAGTAATAAAATCATTTGCTGTGAACTAAAGGAATTGATTTGTAATTACAATTCCTTTTTACTTGTTATTAAGAGTAATTTATTTCCTAAAGTAATTATTACTACCCAGCTCTGGTACTCGTACTTACATGTTTGAATTTATTTTCATTCGCAATGCAAATTTAAAATAAAAATATCGTGGCAAAATTACCTGTGCAATTAGAAAACGAACAAAAATTAAAAAAAACTGTTGGTTTAAATATCCTACTTATTAAGCTTGAGCTTTAGCTAAATTATTGAGCTTTTTCGTTAAAAAGCATAAGAAAGGTGATGGGAAATTTTTCGATTATTAGAGAAGAGTGAGTAACGCATTTCACGATTATTCAAAATACCGATTACTCGTAAGATAGAGTCTGTATGCATATGAAAGATTACTTTGTTCATAAAATTAGTGGACAATTATAGTTAAAAGAAATGCTCGTATTTATATCAAATTAATTGGTATATGTATATTTTTTGCTGATGTTTCAAAGATGTATGCATATGTAATACTTTCGTATATATTTGAATGCCCATTAGGTTGGTACAAAGTTAAAAATGTTAAGCTCTCACCCACAAGAATTTTTCTAACAGGTCTATTCTGCGCTGGTAATAAAAAGTTTGTAACCGGTAAATAAAGTTCTTGTAAATTTTTAAACCCTTTTCGCATTCTGTGTACTCTTGTAACCGGTAAATTTTGTTGCCATCTCATAAGCTGGTTACAAATTATTGCCCCGTGAAATATGCAATGCCGGGATTTGCACAATTCTTCATAGCTGAATTGGTGAATATTTTAACTACATTACCAACGTACCTAGAATCGCGGTGACAAGAACTGGTAACATTTTTTGGTAATACAATTTTCCGGTAACAAAATCTTCGGTAACGTGCAGAATAGATCTGTAAATGGAAAAAATAATTCCCGTATTTTTTGTAAAAAAAAAAAGATATTTAGAACTACCTCAAATCTCATGAAGTTTTCCATGTATTTTATTTGAATTTTCATGGGCTTTAAAGCTTTTCTAAATAAATTTTTTTTAACAAAAAATATTGGTTTTCTTTTTTCCATTTACAAAAATCCTGGGGAGTGAGAGCTTAACGTTTTAGACTTTTTTCTCTGCTTCTATTTTTGGACCACCTTAATTTACATACATATGCACTTACGTACATTTGTATGTGAATTGCTCGCGCACACATATCCAATTCGGATAACATTATCAGTGTGCCCATATTCAATATTTTTTCTACGAAAATACTCACACAAAATTTAGCAAAAGTATAAGACCACTCCAACCGTTTCGTACAAGGTCAATTTTCAAAGACAAAGCACCACATTTTGAAATTCTACTTCAAGAATAGTAAAGTTAAAAAATGTTTTTTGTTTGTATAGGTATCAAAAATTCATCTTTAGTTAGTTTTATTTTTATACCCGAGCGCACTTGTGCACAAGGGCATTATAACTTTGTTCACATAACGGTTGTTTTTAACAGGCAATACGAATCGAGATAGATATAGACAAATGTATACATAAATGATCAGAATGAAAAGAGAAATCGATTAAGCGGTGACTGCCTGTCCGTCCGTCCGTCCGTCTGTGCACCCGACAACTCGAATAAAAATTAAGATATCTTTACGGAACTTAGTACGTGCACTGCTTTCGGACTATGACCACGCTTACCTCACATATAACGGTAAATTTCAGAAACTACTGAAGATAATTGACTCAAAATTGATATTTACAATAATTTTTAGACGAAAAATAAGAATATTAAAAATTTTTGGAAAAGGGGCGTAGCCATGCCCACTTATGATTACATGTGTATATCTTATCGAGGCTAGATTTAGCATTTAAATTTTTTTTCATAGCCTCAAAAATTTAGATCAGACTTTTTGGCTTTTTTGGTGTACTATTTGTGTACTAGAGAATATTAAAATTTTTGCATTTTACTTATCCTAAACTTCTTTTTGCATATTTTGAAATTATGTAGCTGTTATTGGCCTGATAGATGCTAAATAATATGTGTTTTGATGAGACTTATTTAAGAATTTATTTACAGAAAATTGGATTTGCGGAACTTATCGAGTTTTATGGAATGAATATACTTACTTTTTTAACTTAAATTTTCATAGCGTATAACTTTTTCTAACCTTTTTATAAATCGAATTTAGCTTCACTTTTTGGGATAATCTGGTCACACTGCTTGTGATAAACAAAGCAGTGTTGCCACAAAACAATTACCAAATTCTTCAAAAACAAATGAAAAAACAATGAAACAAAAATTATCGATAACATTTTGAAAATTTAGCAGCAAATACAAATGTGCTTAAGAGCGAAAAACGCCACACAAGCGGCTTGACGAACCAAGCGAAATATCCCTTTGCTTGAAGCTATATATGTTGGGTATGGAGGTGTTTGATTGCTTTGGCAAGACGTTTGTGGGAAATGTGAATAAAAATCAAAATTTTTTACGTTGTGTACGGTAAAATCGAAACGGAATTTTCAGCGAATGAGGAAAATGAGAAAAATCGAAGAAAACCAAACTCTTTTACATTGTGAACCAGAAGAAAACTAAAATTCTTTGTTTGAACGAGTCGTGTTTGCATGGTGTATGACGAAACGGAAAAAGTAGGTTTGAAGAATGCTTAACAAGCCGCTTGTGTGGTGTAATTTCGCTCTTTATAAAACTTCGGAAGGCTTTTTGTTCAAAAATTTGCGGAGCGATTTAACAACTCTGTTGTGTAAAACATGGTTGCATTTGTTATCTGCAAATATATCGAGAGGAAATCCCTCGAAAATTCCTCAAAAACTACTCAAGTGCATCCGAAATTCCTCACGTTTTGAGGAATTACACGCAAAGTGGTCACACTGAAACAAGGCTGCATAGAGGGAAAGTTGTAGGAAAATCGCACGTTAGTATTTTGTGCCGCGCGAAACTAGATGGTGGTCGAAAGAGTTTAAGCGGAAAAAGTGTTTCACTGTTGTGCGTGGAGCGAATATTCGATAAAGCTATTTGAAAAAGTATGCACTAATAAAAATAAACTTGTAATAAAAGAGTAATTTGCTATAAAAATGTGGGAGAATTTTTGCATTTGTCTCGAAAAAATAAATAAAAATTAATTAATGTCCCTTTAAATCAGTAAATTCACTGATATCAAATACCGGTCTACGCGCTATAAGCAACAAATACATATGTACATATGTATATGCATACCTACATACAGTGGCGAAAATATAAATACGGAGAAGAAATTTTAGCACTCTTTGGCTATTTCCTTTTCTATTATTTAATGTTTTTTATTAGTTATTTTTATGAAAGTGTAGCTCGTTAAATAACAAAAAACATGTAAGGAAAAATTATAAACTTCTTAAAAGAATTGAGCCAAATTCGATAAAGTTTCTTCAAAATGTTAAGGTTTTTTTAGAAACAGTCTGAGTATGCAGTTTTGTAGACCAGTCAATTTTAGTAAATGCAATTTTTAAGTACCTAGCAATTTTTTTTTGTGGAAGGCGTAGCACATTTTCTCCATACAAAAAAAATTGTCAAACATACTTTGTATGGAAGAAAATCTACTTCAAACGTGCAATTTATTATACTGGAATTTTATGGTCTACAAAACTGCATACTCAAAAAAATTGTAAAAAGTCTTGATTAAAAAGTTTAAAATTTTAATGAAATTCGCAGAATTTTTATAAATGTATAAAGTTTAAAATGTTGATTTAGGTAGTTTTTTCATATTTATTTTTTCAAATTGAAAAAAAATTTAATAAATAGATTTTTAAACCCTATTAACATGCTCGCCACCGTATGTACATATGCACAACATAACACATTCTAAAATTTTTGTGGTTTAGTAAAAGTGACGCTGCTTGCCTGCAATTAGTGAATTAATTTTAGCCTTTTTTACATATGTGTGTACATATTTAATTAAAAAAAAAAGGTTAACACGCAATGTGTACAAAATGTTTTTTTTTGGGGAGAAAGTTCTGTTACAAATGGACTCTCCATGCACAAATTAAAATATTTTTTTGTGATTAAAAGCATTAAATTGCACAATGCTTTGTGAAAAAAATTAAAATATATAAACATATAAAACATTCCTTGAATTCAATGTACCAACTGATTTTTAAAATTTGTGCTTCTAAATATTTATCCAATTTGTTAATTGTGTAGTTCATTGGAAGTTATAAAAAACGATGACATCTTTCCTCAGTAACGCCATTTG